TTCGTGGTCTATTGACCTTTTTCTTCCTTTCCTTTAGTTTTATGACTTACAATTTCCTGAAAATCATCAATTTGCAAATTCATCCTCGTAAATTTATGTTGAGATTCTCTTAAACGTCTTTCTTCTCTGCTTACATCACCTTTCTTAGCGCTTACATTTGTGATCTTGCTCTTTAGTTTTAGTCCTTCTTTTATTACAGATAGATTTAAGGTTCCTATTTTCCTCTGCAGCTTTTGCTGCATGCTAGGAATTTTGAAAAGTGGGGATCTCACGTATAATTATTGTATAATTGCAGCTTTTGTCTTCCCTCAATCAAAGTATTTTGCAACTGTCATGTGCACCATGTATGCATTTACTTTTATTTTTTGACATTCATTCATTTCTAGTCTTTTGTTGAGAACTGAGGCCACTTTCTGTTCAGTTTGTCCCTTTGGATTGAGCTCTTTTTACAGTCTAGTTCAGGGACTTTTGTGGAAAAAGTATTTATGTGTATCTTGGGCGTGAATGAAGTTAAGCTTTTACACCTTCAAATCTTCCCTGTCCTTCTTTGGAGGTGGTTTGTCTATTAAGTCACTAATTAATACTGTTGTGTCGAAGAATTCTTCGTTCTACCTTTTCTTGTAAGAACATATTGTTTCCTGTATTTTACAGTCTTGTTGCTCCAGTGAGAGTAAAGCCTCATGCTTTATCTTTTTGTAGAATTAGGCCCTTTAGAAATATACAATGTCCCACTTTAGCGTGTTTGCAGTTTGTCTGATATTAATATTGAGTTTTCCACATTCTTTTTGTGATTACTTAAACTTTTTACATTTTAAAAAAATTTTTACATTTTTTAAAAATTCCAACCTTTGTCTGTCAATGTAAGTGTATTACTTCAAAATGGTCTAATTTTTTTTTCTTTTACCCACCCTCATCTCTTAAGTTAGGACAAAGTAATTTAATATTCATGTTGACTGTATTCACTAATGTTTGGCCTTACTTTTGTGATTTTATTTTATGACTTTTATTTATTACATTTTTTCTTTTCTAACTTGCTAAATTAATTGAATTTCATTTGTTCTTATCTCCTCCCCCCACACACAGTGGCTTAAAAGTCTTCATCTTTCTTTTCCTTTAGAAATAGTTACCCTTTCTCTATTCATGGCAGGAATTAAATAGCATCTAGTCCCCAACAAGTTGAGCTTGTGATTATGGTCCTATGTCTAGATGTGACTGTGCTGTTTTCAATCTGTTGTCTTCACGGCACAGCCCTGTGTATCCTGCCTTGCCCTTTTGACTTACTTATTCTGGTAGTTTTTATTTTGTTGGATAATTCCTTGAGTAACTTTTTAAAGAATGGGTAAGTGGGTGGCATCCTATTTTAGTGCTTCTCTCTTTCACTTTGAGACTTGGGTGAGTAATTGATCTCATAATTTTATCTCTTTTTGCCTCAAAGCTGAGGTCTTTGCCTTGTTGCCCTCTAGCATTTAATAAGGGAGCTATCAGGTCCAACGGTGATCTTTTTTTGTAGAAACTTTTAAATGCCAGGTCTCCACATGTCATCAATATAATATGTTGATGAGACCAACCTTAGATCATCAATCACGTGGGGAAGAAGAAACCAGGTCCACAGAGCCCTGGCGTATCTTGGAGGAGGAGGGAAGGTTGGTCTCACTGAGGATACGTTTACTCCAGATGGGGATGGGAGTGTGGTAGCTTGCTTAGGACCATGCAAGGCATGTGGTGCAGTAGTTCAGGACAAGAGGAACAGTGAGAAAAGGAATTTTAAAGCAAGGCAAGAGATGCAAAAAAACCTTAGAGCACAAACTGTCGCTTCAGAGTGGATGGATATATTCTTCAGGAAGCTTCTGTAATAACAGTCAAGTCGTGCCTGGCTGCAGGCCTCTGGGATAGGAAAACCATGTAACTGAAGGTCATAGAAGGCAGATGTCTCTGTTCTTTATAGCTTCCCTCCTCTCCACTTAAACCTAGAGGATTCTCTTCTGCTTAGGTTGTGGTCCTCTCAGAAGACCTGTCCTTCTTTGTGTATTCTCTCTTATTTCAGTCATGGTTTGGGGAGAACAGGTAGTCAGTGGGTTCAGTTTGGCATCTAGAATCTCAGTTGCATATGACATTTTCAGGAAACTGTGGACGTACATGTGGTGGGACAGCTCTCTGACATGCAGTGTCAGTGACTGTCTCACTGCAGTGGCTCCCACAGAAGTCTCCCTGTTTCCACCCAGGCCATCTACCCTGGGCTACATCCCTTGTCCTGACTGATTCATGCCATGAATCAAAGCAGTTCTGTGATTTTACTTCCTGGCTAGGCCAGACTTCTTCTTCAACTCAAACCTTCCTGCTCCTCCCCTGCCCTTCTCCTCCCTCCCAGCCATTAGTGCCCCTCTGCTCCAGTCACTGGGACCACATGTGATTTCTTGAGCATCTAGGAGCTCTCTGATTATATGGCATGTCCTGTCTCCCCACCCAGTTCTCTCTTATGCATACTTGTATGCCATCAAAATGGACTACTCCAGGGTGGTCCCCTGGAAGGGTGGGCTACATCTTGGTCATCTTTCATCCTAGGGAATGGCCAAATAGTCTAACCCTAATAGACACTGAATGCACAGCTGTGAAATGAATGAACCACCAAATTGTGTTCTGGGGGCTTTTGTGCACTGACTGTGAGACATCTACTAGGTCTGACAGTGAGTTCTGCTGGCCCCACTTCATGCAGAGTGGAAGGACCCCAGCTTATGGTGTCTTTATACACAGCAGACACTGTTTGTTGTTAGTCTTTTTTTTTATCAGTACATATTGAGGTAACAATGTAATAATAATTACATTTATCATGGGGAATTGGTGCATGTACATAACACATCTTAATTCTTTATTCATCCTCTTCTCCTCCACTCTCCCCGTCCTTAGACTCAGGAGAGGCAAACGAAATGTGCTTTGGGTATTCCAGGAAGCAGAACTCATGCCCAGCTTTGTGGGAGGTGGCTGAACCAGCTGAGGGAGAATGAACAGGACTGGGCCAAGTAGACATGGCTATGGGGGAGGGGGAAGTATTCCAACAAGAAGAAACTGCCCAAGCAAAGGCTGGGAGGTGGAAAATTGTGGACTCAATATGTTCTGAGACATCAGAGGGAAAAATAGCTGCCATCAGTTTTTGAATTAGTAAATGTGATCTATTGGAAGGCATGCAGTGAGATCTGGGAATAATGGAGAACTGTGGAATTGTGAAACCTCTGGATGGTTCAGATCCAAAGCAATGATAGATGATTGCTGTGGAGCAAGTCCAGTTTCACCATGGTGTGGTGGTGGGATAGTGTCCAGGAGTAAAGGGTAGGGCTGGCTGAATTTCATAGTGGCAGATACGGCAGGCAAGGGATAGCACAGGGATTTGGGTGCCCGGTGCATTTTATAAGAATCAGCAGTATAATGTGGTTGGCCTGGCACTAGTCATCCCAAGGTCAAGTTAAATGCAAAACATGGTGCCCAAGAGGAACAAGGGGACAATGCCCCAGGCCTGCACGGGTGTCTCAGGTCCTGGACTGCCAGGTTGCACTCCGGGACAAACCTATAGCAATTATGTGAGTCACATCACATGTGAGGTATTGTTCTAGACCTTTATGAGAACTGACTCACGAAAAACCTGGGAGGTACTCACCGTTCTCAAACCCTTTGCAGAGCTACTGAGGTCATGAACAGAAGAGCCAGGACTTAAACTCAGGTGTCCTAACCCTCAAAATCACATGCTCAGCCATTCCACCACACTGTCTGGAGCAAACAGATAGGGCACAGTTAAAGGGTGGAATGTGGATGTGACATGTGATACTATAAATGAACAAACCAACTCACGTTTTCTGGTTTAGGAAGCACCCTCCTCTGAGTTGTCTTATGTGAGCCTAACAGCAGCCTGCTAAGTCAGTTGTTAAAAACCAATGTTCACTCATCCATCCATTCATTCAGTGATCATCGTTGAGCTCTGGTCCTGACCCAGGCTTCCCTTGGCTGTGAACATTTTGTTTAATGATTTGGGGAATACAATGTGCTCTTACCGTATTTAATCCTTACTCCAGTCCCAATCCCAGTCACTTGTACAGGTGCATTAGTTTTCTCTGTTTAACAACCTTGCACCTAGCGGCCGAACACCACATCCCCTTTTTAGCATAGTTCCATAGGTCAGAAGTCTATATGGAATGGCTGGACTCGCCCAGACTGACTTGGAGATGCTGGAAGCCTAGTTTGTGTCTGGAGACTCTGGGGGCTTTTCCACTTTGGGATGCCTGGGTCAGGACAGGAGCTCAACAATGATCACTGGATGGATGGATGAGTGAACATTGGTTTTCAATAACTGACTTAGCAGGCTGATGTTAAGGCTCACGTAAGAATTTTGCTTTTCCAGTATTGAACAATTCCAGGTATTGACAAAACCCAATTCCTTGTGGATGCAGGACTGAGATTCTGTTTCCTTGCTGGTTATCAAGTGGGCTGTTGCTTTCAAACTTCTAGTAGCTACTTCCAGGTCCTTCTCACATGGCTCCTCCATTTTCAAGCTAGCAAGACGTGTTCAATCCTCCTGACTTTTTCTCTGTAACTACCCAGACAAAACTCTTCCTTTTAGGACTTTCCTGATTAGCTTATTCTTTGGTAAACTCCCTGTTTGAAGGTCAGCTGAGTCCTGTAAAAACTTTATCATACAACATATCCCTATCCCAGAGATTGTGCAGGGCTGTACCCCAGGGATGAGGTAGGGAGAATTCTGAGGCCTTCTTAAAATCCTGCTGAACATATTAGTGAAAAATATGAGGCCCAGAAACTTCAGGGTTGGCAAAGGTAGAAGGGTGGATTCAGTGTCCATACCATCTCTTTGAGTGATACAGGAATTGGATCCTGCACCAAGGAAACCAGTTTGGGAGGAGTCAGGGCATTCACCTACTGGGGCCAGGCAAAAATTATTCTGTATCTAAAGTTGACCAAGAAGACTCTTTGACTATAACTTTCAACCACCCCTGCAGGATTTGAGATATAAACTCAGCAGTCCTTGATGTAGTTCATGGAGGAGCCTCAAAAGACACTGGCCAGGAAAGCTCTCCCCTCCAGAGAGAGGAGTCGTGCATGAGAGGAGGCAGCTGCGACAGGAGTGGACATGAACACTGGTTTCCAGAGAGAAGAGCGTTTTAGTTTTGGTCACCGGAAGTGGTGCCTTCAGCACAGGTAAGAAGCAGTTGGTGGGTTGGCTTGCTAGAGCGTTATTTTGATCAAGTATGAGTTTGTGTCTGTTCTTCCACTGGAAAGGTGTTTTTGTGATTATCACTGCCTTCCTTGAGTCTCTGGGAGAGCTGATCCGTCAGTCCACACAACTACTTGGTCAGGTGTGAGCCCGGGTGCCCTCACTGCCACCAGTTCCTTTGCTGTCTCCTGGAAATGCAGCTCTTGCCAGGTCAGGGGAGCTAAGCCGCAGCCCATATGGGAAGAGCTGCAGCTCCACAGGGCCCCCTGGTGGAAGAGTTGGAAGAATGCCAGGTTGGGGACAGTGGTTCCGTGGCAGGCAACGTGTTAGAATCATCTGGGGAGTTCCCAAATTCAAGTACCAGTGTTCTGCTCCAGAGATATCAATGGCACTGACTTTGGAGGGACCCCATCCCTAATATAAGTTTACATATTTCTGCCTTCTCAGATACACGCTGTGGCTTCAGGATAGATATGGGCTGTTGTTCAGCTTATGTGTGCAATGTTAGAAGCTCTCTAGGTCAGCAATAGAGTCTTGAAAGTTTTGTTGGGTACAGAGCACATCAGGATTGCCTGGGAGCTGGCAGGATGGAAGAAGGCTGACCGTGAAAAAGAAGAAAGCGAAATGGAGAATGGATTTCTTGGTACGCCCATTCCCTCTCCATCTGGTGGTTGGGGATGGAGGCTGCTGGAATGTGTATTTAGATTCTGATTAATTGAGAGTTCAGGTACTCAGGGGTTCTGAGAGCTTCAGAGATGCTCACCCCATCCTGTGTTTGGGTCTGTGGTCTCAACTGTGACGCCCAAGGGGCGTTTCCTAGCTTGGCTGGCTGTGAGCAATGACTCATCTCCTTTCCTGAGAGCAGAAGTTTTCTCACAGTGCAGAGCAGGACCTGCGGCCACAAACCACCTCAGAGATGGCATCACCGTGGGTGCATGGACTGTGAGGTGGCAAAGGCTTCTGCCCACAGCTTGGCAGCACACCTGGGCCCTGCAGCCCTAACCCTGGACAAGGCTCACCTGCACGAGTTAGGTAGCATTTCCTGATCCCTAGGAAGAATGAGTTAGTTGAGCCTCATTTTGAGAGGGGATGTTTGCAGGAGCACTTGCTATGTAGAATCTCCCTGAGTTCAAATCCCAGCTCCCACAGGTACTAGTTTTGTACACTACTTACTAGTTGCAGAGGTAAGTTGCTTTGTCCCTTAGCCTTAGCTTTCTCGCTCATGCAACAAGATGGCAGGGCCTCCTGCCTCACAGGGGCTTCCGCTCACAGAACCTGCAGGTGAGGCCCTTAGAACACAGCCAGACACTTAGCAAGGGCTTCCTACACATGAGCAGCCTTCCACCACCCTCTGCCACTGATGCAGGCAGCTCAGCCACCACCTTCCTGTGATGCATCTGCCATGCCCTGCCTCCTGCTATGCTCTGCTACCTGTTCCAGGGCCCTGGTGAAGTCAAGGGACCAGCCTTGCTGCACACAGAGCCAGGCACCTTACAAACTAGTCTGGGGCTTGCAAGTAAGGCGGTCCTGTGGCAGGAAATGAACACAGAGAAGTTCAGTATTTTAAACACAGTCAAACACCTAGGAAGTAGCAGAACCTCTAGCTACAAAAGACCTTCCACTTTTTTTTCCTATTAAGGTTCACCCTGAAGAAAGGCAGTTATAACTTCAGGGATGACTCTTCCCTAAGAATATCTGCATTTTAACAGGAATCAGTGATACCTTATAATGAATAGGTCCCCTTCCGTGGCCCCCTGGAATGGTTCCTCATACCTTGATTTTGCATCCGTTTGCCTCTGTGTGTGAATCTCTCCCACTGGCAGTCACAGAGCAGGGTTTGGACTTACTACTTGAGGGATGCAGTGGGCATCTGAACTAGTCTAGACGCAGACTTGGTCCTCTGAGGGATGCAGGCAGAGTTGTGAGGGGACTGCCCCAGGGAACCTCCCTAGATCTAGAATTTCTCCTCCCCCATTTGATGCCCCAAATCTCCTTTGTCCACGTGGGCTCTGCCAGCTGCAAGGGGAAATCTGTAGAGGAGGAGACTTGCCAGCAGGAAATGAGCTGCCAGTTCCAGCAGAAATCTTCCCCTCCCCCTTCCCGTGCTCTCTCTGGGAGCGGCACATCCATGATTAATGGATGCTGTTGGAGGGCACAGGTGATTGTGACACGGTTGGCCCACCAGGGTGGAAATATGTGGCATCTTTGAGGGCAGAGGACACAATACAAGCCAGCAGGTGCAAGGCTGGTAGACTCCCTTATGCCAGGGAAAGGCAAAGCCTATTAGTGCCACCTGAGGTTCCGAAACATGTATGTTCCCAGGGGAATTAACAGTTATTTGAGGGCAAAGAAACGTGGGTCATAGCCTTTCTTCAGGATGGGCCTGAACTGAAGCTCTCTGTAGAACAAAGCCAATCTGAAAATGGGTATGGAAGCATTTTATCAGCATCAGACTTCTTGTGCTAGTAGTTTTCAAATTATTTAGTCAGAAGCCTTTTTGATTTTGTTGTTGTTGTTGGAGTTTTTTTTTAGTTTGTTTTTATTTTTGTTTTTGTTTTTCTGGTATTTTTGAGACCGGGTCTCGCTATGTAGTTCAGGTTGGCCTTAAATTCACTTTATAGCCCAGGCTGGTTTTGAACTTGCAATGATCCTCCTGCCTCAGCCTTCTGAGTGCTGGGATTACAAGAGTGCACCATCGCACTCAGCTTGTTCTTTTTGTTTTTTGAGGTTGGGGTTTGTTTCTTTGTTTGTGACAGAGTCTTGCCATGTAGTCCAGGCCAGGCTTGAGTTCACTATGTAGCCCAGGCTGACCTCAAACTTTTGATTCTCCTGTCTCAGCCTTCCAAGGCTAGAATTACAGATGTGCACCAGCATGCCCTGCTAGAAGCCATTTTTAAAAGTTAAGTTGTACATGGAGTGCCAATATTTAAATCAGATTAAAGTGGCAGTTTATTAATACGTGCTTTTTTTTTTTTGTACCAGGGGTCAAACTCACGACCTCATGCTTGCCAGGCAGACATTCATGCCGCTGAGCTAAAATCCCCAGCCCTACACATTTATTTTTACAAGTTCAAGTCTTCAACACTTACTTATGAAAGTCCATTAATAGAGTAATAACTCTGTTTTGATGCATAAAAACACTGAAATGTGAGGTTTTAGATCAGGACCTACAAACTGTGGTTCATGGGTCTAATCCAAGCTGCCACTTGATTTTGTAAGTAAAGTTTTACAGCAGCATAGTCACACCATCCACTTACACATTATCTATAGCTGCTTGAGACCACCTGTCCCTTGGAACCAGATGAACTTTGTTGATCCCTGCCCTGGATGGCCATTGTATTGCTCTGCCAGCTGCATCCATCCAGTATTCCTCTCTTTCTTGCCTTGCCTGGCACAGCTGCACAGTGAGTGATAACAGATTTTCCACAGCACACCTTACAGCCGTGGAGTGAACCTCAGTTCCATGTCACCTGAGCATTCAGGGAGGAATAGAAGGGAGCTGTAGCCTAATACTCAACAACTACTTGAATTCCTTCTTATCACAGACCAAAGTGAGACAGGAAACCCCGCCATCACTTATGATGCTTGTGGGATAATCCTCATTGTACACCCTCTTGTCATTGAAAGCTTCAAAGTGTGCTTGCCTGTCTGGTTTGATATATGTGTGAATGGTCCTGAGCTTAACAACAGCAACCACACAAAGATGCCCCGTAGAGGGCTCAAACCCATTATTCCTGGTGGAAGGTATATTTCAACCCTGAAGTTCAGGGTCAACCCAAACCTTATCCCAAGATCCACACAAACCAAGTTAAACCAGCTGTGCCCATTGGCTGTGTTCCATCAGTCACAATGTGCTATGAAACACGTCTGAATGTTCAGGTTCATGTTCTGGTTTAGTGGTAATAAGGGTGAAGCTGTATTTTTAGACTAAAGTGATCGTGTAACAGTTGAAGGAGCTCTTAAGCATTTTTGTGGAACACGATTTGAAAACCATCCTTTAGCAAACATTGATGACTTAATTCCAGCATTTAAGCGTAACAGAGGAAGCTGGAGAAAAAGATTGGGTGAGAGGTGGCAGAAGGCAGAAGAGCAGTGATACCGTTGACAAAGGCAGGAACCACTGGGTGGGCAGTGACGTCCAGGCAGGCACAGAGTCAGTGGTGGGACAAGTCCTTGGGCCACACAGAGAGGCCTGGGAAGCACCCCCTGAGACCTGTGCCATCTCCTAGGCATTGACAACGACCTAAACTCAGCTGTTTGGCTGCTTGAATGACTGCATCTGTCCACACGGAGGAAAAGGTGCCAAGGAGCATGAGAAAAGATTAAAATGTGCACAGAGATAGCAGGGAGAGCACAGAGGTGTCTTCTGACAACTGTGCTGACGGCCTTTGTGACAGAGGGGACAGGCTGGTCAGCACGTCCAGCCAGGGCTCCCACTGAATGGAGACCTGAGAAAATTGTGCTTAGACTGGGTAGTGGCTTTTAGCATTCCAGGCAAAGCCCAAAGAGCCAGGAATAAAATCCAGGAATCGCAGCTCCCAGGCCACCTGGCCTCCCCTCAGTGGGTGCAGGGAAGGGAAAACCAGGCCTGGTGGTTTGGGGAGGCTTTCAGCTGAAAAGGTCTCGAGGGGATAAAAACTCCCCAGGCCTTTCTGAGGTTTTGCTGCTCGAACCCATAGAAAAGAGACATTTTTAGATTGTAAAGGATGACCTCATTTTTTTATTTACATAGCCTTGTTTGTTTGTACAGTTCTTTAAAAATAGCTGACATGTGCTAAGCTTAGCGCTCACTCTCTGAGCACCAATGGCAGAGCCACTGTGTGGGGAGAAACGCCTTTTTATCTAAGAAAGGGGCAGCCTTGTTTCCCAGGACAGATGGGAGCAAAACAGGACAGGTAGGAAGTTTCGTGGTTTTTCATGTCGCTTCTCCAAAATAGCCTCACTCCTGCCTCCCACTTCCTGCCGGCTCCACGCACAGCAGATT